TAAACAAAAGGATATCTCTTATCGTGTCTGACCTCATCGGCAGACGTTGCCCTGGCTTTGGGTCCGCCACTACTCATACCGATGGTATTGTTTGGCGGATTCTTTCTCAATGCCGAGTAATAACAATCATAAAACTTAACTAATGTTTGAATTGAACTAAATTTAATAATGAATTGCAGTACAACTGCCGCGTGGTTGTCGTGGTTTAAGTACCTCTCATGGGTTTACTACGGCTTCTCCTCATTGATCATCAATCAGTGGCGAGACCTGAAGCTCACGGATTGCCCGGTTTTTGTGCCGACCCCTCCGGCCATTAACGGTACGGCCGGTCAATACATGCCTATTAAGTGTGTTAGCGATGGTCTGGAGATTATTCACTCATTGGGTTTTGATGAAAATAATTTGTTACGAAACCTAATATTGCTGGTAATTCTGGCCCTTGTCTTCCGCCTAATGGCATTCATCGCACTCTTCATCAGATCCCGAGAGAGATAATAACAATACGAGTGACGAGTGGGACACACATTAACATTGATATCAATTTTAAGACAATTTCATTTTCTTTTCATTTTCATTTTATTTCAATATTTTAGACAGATTTATAAATACGTGTATATATTATATCACACTTTCTTTCTTATCGTATATATTATTTTGTTTACAAAAAAATAAGTATTAAATGTTATTCACATGCGATTACACAAGAAATATATGTTGAATAATATTATTCTTAAATAAAATACATTACAAAATTGTCATTAAATACACATTATTTGTTTCTTTCACACAAACTCTGTTTTTGATCATAAATTATTGTGCAATCGATTGGTGTGTTTGTAATGTCGTCTCTCTTCGTCGTCGAAGTACCAGACGGTGACCGCAAACCGGTATTTGTTTGTTGGCATCACTTCGTGTAGGTTTCGCCGGTCGGACCAGAATAGCACCAAACGGTCTCTCACGGGCTCCACGTCTACGTACGGCACGTTTTGCGACATTTGGGTCGGATATATACGCAAACACCCGCCGTCACTCTGTAGGGGAGGGGTTCACATATTTTATTAGATACTAGTTTCTTTTAAAATGCTTTATACTGTTTCTAATTCTCTCTCTCTCTCTCTCTCTCTCTCTCTCTCTCAAGAGAGAGTTCTCAGCTCATAGATAGTTAGGCTAAAACTTAATACAATTATAAAACAAGAAATTATATAATAAAAAGGAAAAAACTAAACATAACAATAATTACTAATTGTAATTTACTGTATTAAAATACTGAAGTAAAATACTGTATCGTAGATAAAATAGAGTAGATAAATAGTAAATGGTATTCGTGACAAAAACTGATCAAGTGTATTGTGTGGATATACAACTCACCAAATAATGCCACTCCTTATTGACATAGTATATACATGTTATGCAACGGCCGTCACCTGAATAGTTGTCGGCGTGTTTCATGAAACGAGATCCTAAGCACGTAAATCACTATTATTTTACATTGCATTTCAATCACTAAATTTTTATGACTGGATTATTATTGTGTGTTAAAGTAAGTTCTAGCATAATTAGTTAAAAATATTCTGTAAGTATACATTTATAAACTAATTAAAGTTTAAATTAAAAACAATGAATGAACGAGATAGTTCTAAACATGTATTAGATATTACAAAGTTAACTTAACAGTAATGTACAGCAAAAAAATTGTACTAATTTAGTATTAATAGACATATAAATAATATAACACTTAATGCTAACCATTGCCGGGAAAACAGGCGACCATCGCTGGCGTACGACTATTTATATTATAAACACCTAAAAGTCCATTATTGTTCATTTTGTTGCACTTAAACACAATTAAATCAAATGTTTTG